TTTTGCAAAATATCAGTTGGCTAGGTTTCTCACATTCAAGCCAGATTTGGCTACCGGCTTTCCACTCAACCTGATGTTCGGAATGTACTGCTTAATAAGTGATCTCATTTTGTGCGTGATTTTATATTTTAACTCTCAATATTTAGCACAGTTTCGAACTACAGAAACCTGATTAGGCACAGGCTACTTCAAACATGCAGTCACCTTATAGTGTAATGTGTGTACAGTGAGTGTAGTTCAGTGTATGTAGTGAGTATTGGACTGGTTAAACTTTGCTCTTCTATCAAGTTTGATGTATAGCCACACCTACGCATGACAAAATTAAACTCTAACAAATACACTATGACAAGTGCCACATACACACACACACCATATACTTTACTTCACACTAAATGGCTTTTTCACACTGAAGAAGCAGCGGCACAAATAAGCTTGCCCAACTTTACAATTTCCGTAGTTAATAACATTTTTTACGTTACGAAGCCCACAAATTCTTTTGTACAATCAAAAGATGTTAAAGCTATCATTTCTTCATGAGTAAGCATCAACTTAAAAGAATTACGTTTGGACACACCTGTTTGCTTGAGGGACAGGGTGGAAGGACAGTGCTTAGTATTACCTAGTGGAGGCACACCTGATTGCATACTCAAGGTCGAAGACCATCTGTGAGCGCAGCAATGACTCCTCACACTGTCTCTGTTCTGTATCCCTGCCTGCATGGCTCCCGGCTGCATTCAGCAGTTTTCACGCAGCAATCATAGCTATGCTGCTCTGCCTGATCAGACAATTCTAGAAAAAGAACACCACATTGTACAATATCCCCCCCCCCCACAAGGTACTTATATAACACTAAATATAAGCAACTAGTGTCAAACTCTCAGTGTTAATTTGAGGCCCACTGCTACTACTGCTGCTAGTTATGACTGTTACTGCTGTAGCTGCTACTACTACATTTGAAGTTATATCTATTACAGTCATAACTCATACAGATGCTACTGAAACTGGTTCTGCAACCTATCTATTTCCATTAGAATGATTGGTGTATCGGTACTCAAGTGGAAGTTTAGTTAGGCTCTCTATACAGTGTACAAAACTAACTTTTTTTCATATCCTAGCAAAATTCTCAAACCATCAAACTTTTCTACCTTTCAGTTTTAAATACGCAGAGCCCAGCTCCCCATGAGCTGCAGCCAGCCTCCAGTGTGAGTCTCCGTAAGCAAGGCGTGCCAGCGCAACACAGCGAACAAACTCACGCACAGCCAAATCAACCTGTGAACCATAGCTGCAACTCATATTTACCATTAACACAATTTATAATTTATGCAACAAACTAGAACATTTATGATCGTTTTTTCTTCCATTTATCACACTTTATACTAATATTATATATATATATAAAGTGAACGTACATGGCTGTATACTTTCATACGCCTGCACAGGTCTACTAACTCTAGAAATACAATGCCATACATAGACACTGAAAGACATAAAAATGTCATACTTGGACAATCGGGAGATGGGTACATACCTAAATAACATTTGATGTTTTGGGATAACTAGGTTGTCGTCTCTAATAGTTTACCTGAAGATTTTTCATGTACATCTTAGCCTGCTCTCCTGCAGTTAACAACAGCTGGTCAGGAGGTGCCGTGGCTGGTTGAAGTGACCTTCTTCCCCGTTTGCTTTTTTTGGTGCTCATTCCCGGGGTCTTTGCAGCTCCGATATCAACTGAGGCAGAAGATTCCCCAGGAGACATAGACTCTGGATACCTTTTGTACAAAAAAATTGCAAAAGAAGTGCAAGGTGACTATACTCTTGATATATTGCTTGAGCCCTACTACCAGTGCAACTACTGTCACTACAGCAACTACAGCAATTGCAGCTGTCACTCTCATTGCTATTTAGGCTATATTTCCTATGTTTTAGCTACTGCTATACTATTGACAATTGCTGTAGTATGCTACAATTACGAATACTTACCACTGCTATACTTCTACTGCTACAATTACGAATACCTACCATTGCTATAGCATGCTACAATTACAACTACGGTACCAATTCAAGAACATAATAGAATAAATAAAAGGCATAACCAATACATGTGATCAGGAGTAGATAATAGGGAGGAGTGTGACATCAATAAACAAGGGAAATTCGTCATTTACTAGCCTTATAATACCTACGATTTACTACGCGTAACTCATCCAACTTGAGCTCAAATCGGACACAGTACTCCGCAATCCGGAGATACAGCCTAAAACGTACGACATG